CGATTAAGTGGTAGAATGCTCGCCAACCATGCAAGAGGTTCGGTTTCGATTCTCGACCAACGGACTCCTAAACATCGCCTAGGTTACTAGTCGCTAGCAAGTCAGGAAAGGGGGAAAGGTTGACCTTAAGGGCTAGCAACTCTACCCCGTTAAACCAACACTGTTACTAAACCTTGACTGAAGCCCTACATTTCATTCGAAGGGTTAAGGAATGAAAAAATATGTGGAAATCGTATTGTACTACAGAGCCAGAATTCCACTTTTATAATAAATATGACGAGTTGTCCGGTTTATCACCTTAAGGTTAACAGAGTGGGAAACAATTCTTTAGATCTTTTCAGGAATTATATATTTATGTAGTGAATGGGTTGAAGGCATTCACCACTTCAACCGCTTAGCAGACTGTAGGTTATGACGACGTACAACATACACTTAATTTTCATCTGCACAAAAAGCTCTCAGCAGACTTATCAAAATAACACATACTGCACTCTAGTACTAGTGTATATTATTAAATTTAAATACATTTAGCATTATTGACTATAACTTTCTCGCATTAATTTCATCTCAGTCAATTTATCATATTGAAACCAGCACTGAAGATGTTGTCTAGAAAGACATTGAAAACTTTGCAATTAAACCATGTCCAGTTCATAGTACACAAGTGCACGAATTCGTTGAATCACTTAGGTGTATTTATTATCCCAAACCATTACAGCCAAACATATTTAGGATGGCTACTGCGTTCAATTTCTAGGCTCCTTAGAATTACACATCTGTGACCATATGGACAATTCCACTTAAAACATCTCACCAATTGCACTAAATTATACGTAAACAACTGTTTAGTGTTTATTTGATTCTGATTAATGCTTCAAAGTGCTTTGAGATGACATCGTTATCCCTGATTAAACTGATTGACAAATACATCAAAGTATATTGCTGACTTGATTGTAATTTATACGAAGCTTTGTAAACATAATCGGCGCTTACTTCAATGTAAAGTGCCCTTAAAAACGACCTGGTAAGTTGAGAGTGGATAGGCTTCAGTCTTACTCTTGAAATGTTCTTATGTAGCCATACGTTCATAGACTCTGCCAAAGGTAAGTCCTATTCTCTGTCTTTATGCGGCAGGAGTTTTCCCTACAAAAGTAAACAGGGGGTGAATGGTAACTCTGGCGCTTACAACCGGACTGGTTGACTTGTAGGTCTACATAAGGGGGATGGAAAACCCTGATTCAAAATTTATAGTGTTCATGAGTTCCAGGCGGTGCAAATGGCGGTGTTCACCGGAAACCATGGAAATGTAGCTCCTCGTGACGCTACTCCACTGCATTGTGAATCAGACTTCAAGTGGAAAGCTCGGTTTGGTGGGGGGGGGGAGTGGGGCAACCACCTGCATCAGTCTGGGTGTACGGTCCGCATCCCAACTCTCGCATAAATTCTAAGATTTTGTATGATGCAATTGTCGATACGTATGATGTACCAAGTTTGCTTTTCAATGAATAAATAAATAAATAAATGCTAGCTCAGTGTTTAAATAAATGAATTTAATTGTTTGTTTAAGGTCGGAAATTTTGCATAAGGTTAAATAAAATTACCATGTCCACGCAAAAATAGAAATCTAAAATTGAAAAAATCAAATCTTCAAATTGGGTTATAACATACACTAACAACAACGCCTTTTGTAACGTGGCCATGTTCACGTAATGACATAAGTAATACATATTATTTAGATATTTGACATTATGAATTGGGAAAATATTTAGCAGGCTTTTATTTGGATAACCTTTGAATTCTCGGTAGTCTGCGATAATAAATGTTGCTTCATAGTCATGTCTAGGCTTCAGGTTTCAAACTTAAACATACACAGTCGCATTTTCATGATTTTTCGCGCTACTATAAACGGTCTATTGCATCGGGAACGCTTCGTTTATACTTGCGTCCAAGTGGCGCTCATTCAAATCGGGGGGTGTTATGCTTTAACGTTACTCAAATCTTTTAACTCTGAAGTCAATAGCTTAAAATGTCTACTTTTGTTTTAACCGTTTCCTATCTGTAAAATCCGTTTGTAGATGCATGAATAAACCTACGTAAATTTGCGTGCATATGTATATATATATATATATGTACTTCCTTAGAACACAATTGATTTGACTTTTTAAAAAAGTTAGCTTTCCTTGATTTTCTCTTCATTCACATTTTGTTTTTTTTATTATCTGTTTACTGTCAAAGTTTTTATTTTCAGTGACTATGCAATTTATTTATTTATTTGTTTCCCTTGAACTCTCCGCCTACTCTGTTTATGTTATCTATTTATAATCAATATTCTCTTTTGACCTTAAAGCGAAAAAAGAAAGAAGAAAAGGGTTATTTTATTTGAAAATAGAAATTTTCACTATATTTGTTTTTGTGGAGGAGGAGGGGTTCCCTCTGTATTGTTACTAAATTTAGAGTTAAGAGTTTTTTTCTTTTCGGCTATATGTTTTCTTTTTGAACGAAAAAAAGACATATTTAAGTTCATCAATTCCCTGTAAAACCAATCAAGCTATGCGCCTTCTTTTTGTTTCATTATGACTTTGAAACTCTCCTGTCTAGCTGTGTTATCCATTTATCAGTTTTGGTTTTTTGTAGTATCTTTGTAGTGTCTTTCAGTAATATGCGATTTGTGATCATCAAAGTGTAGACAGTGTAGCTGTCAATTTCTACGTGATGATACACTTGAGTTAGTACTGTTACGATTAAACTAATTGAAACCACTTAATTGGTGGATGGCTATTGGCAGTGGAACCTAGGATGCACATTTCGTCCTGTTTGCAACTCGTCAGCAGGATATACCTGCATCCTGGATTTCACTACTAGTCACCAACCACCAATTAACCTCTGATTACATGCCCAGACATCGTCGAAGTATCTGCACAAGAAGCCGACATGTCAACCTGAGACCGAGCACTTCGGTTCAATCAATCAGTCGACGGGAAAGTCTAAAATTCAATTAAATAAGTGAAACCACGATGCTGTGGACTGGTCACCGAATGAATGGTGTTTGATTTGTGTAAATAATCCTTCAAGGCGTAATTTTCACTCTATCGTTCAGTGAATCTCCTAAGAATAAATGAGTTCCATTAAGGTTGAAGATGTTTCTTACTCGTTGATAAATGGGGCAACAAGCGTGATATATAGGGCATACATAACTGTTTCTAGATATCAGTATAGGTGTTTGGTAGGTGTTTAACTATTACGATACCACTCTGTTTGGTTTTTAAGTAGTGATTTATAAGAATTCTGAACTAATTGACGCTTAGTAGAATGATTTTCTTTTGAATTCACTCCAACATTTTAAATTAATAGTAAACTGGGAATTTAAGATATCGAAGTATACACTTCGGGGAGGGGGAAGGTAACTTACTCAATTTTCTTGTGTGGCTATGCTTCTGAGTTGTAAAATAGTTAGGAAGACAGTAAAATATGTATGATTGTGTGTGTTAAGTGTTATACATTTATCTGTCGATGGTCTGGTAGTAGAATACTCGTCAAATACCCACATGAGCCGGTGCTCGATTACCTGCCGGCGCAGACCTCGTGTAATTGGTAGTAAGTCCGGTAAAGAGAGAAGGATGGGAATGAAGCTAACAACCGCATCTCGTAAAAAAAGTACCTCTGCTACTGGAACTTTTAAATTCAAGTTTGAAGCTTTATGTCCCACTCGGAACGCAAAGGAATGGAAAAATGTTTGATACATTTATGAATTGTAAATTAAGCTGTTTGGAGTGTTGAAAGCAATTCCCGTTCCCGTCACATGTGTGCGGTGTTCGAGGAATTGTTCACTTTAAAAAATAGATGTAAAGTGATGCTGAAATCTAAAAAGCTGACATTGAAGCTTCAACCTCCAATAAAGTATTCGTATTCTGTTTCTTTGACCTACATTTCTCCATTTCACAATTTAATCCGTCACTATTCTATGAAAGATTTTCGCAGAAGACGTCATCGAAATATACTAGTTACAAATCTATGTCAGTAGAACAAGCCACAATGGGAGAGGTGAAGCGGATGGATGACTTGGAAACTAGATAAAGTTCTATTTAATTCCCATACTGTGTCGCTGCTAAGAATTCTATTAAATCATCGTTACCTAGAAGACGTTGATCTGGTTTCACTTTTTTATCTTTACACTTCAAAGTTGGATCATTAACGTTAACACTATTTTTTATTTGAATTCACCTTCATTTCGTTTTGTGATATTAATAGGTAATGTGTTGATCACTGATTGTTTATTCTACCTTGTATGACTGTCAAACGTCCGCTAGGATGTTTAACTCTTATTTTTCAGTTGCCACGTCTAACGAAGTTATGTTTTCATCGTGACACTTTTTGTAACTTTTGTTCAAACATTGACTTATAAATCTTAAGGTTTTCACCTTAGCGACACAATTTCTACTGAAAAACGGCTTAAAACATAATTAAAGGTGATTTTAAGTGTCATTTATGGATCAGACGAATTAAATTCACCGCTTAAAACTTTTCACAAAAGTGCATCAGTTCAAACTGCCACTTCAAGGAATAATTAAATAGAAAACAGTGAGGATCTGATGAATTTGACAGATTACAAGGAGTAAACGCTCTACTGAGAAGAATGACAGCTTGGAAAACACTTCTTATTTACAGCTTCACATAATGCCCCCTTGTCTTGAGGTGATATGAGTCTCTTGGATTTTTATAAGGGTAGGGAGACAAAGATTTGCAGTGGAAGTTATGTAAATCGCGTCCGTTTTGCTGTGACGAAGACGAACAATTGGAAAGATTGTATTACCCATCTTCTTGATTTGAAGTGTTAATTACTGGGACTGATGGTCTATATTTTAACAGGTAAAGGTGACACAGTTAATCAAGGATTTTGTGAAAGATAAACTGTAAACAATATAAACTCATCTATCATAAATATCACTTTATCAAAATCTTATATTTCTCTGATTTTGTTTGAATTATTGTTTAATTTGTAGGGATAGCGAAAAAGCCAGTTTATATTGGAAACGATATTTATCCATGGACAATAGTGAAATTGTGGGTAAGTAAGGTATCCATGTTAAGTATCTGCTATGCTTTATCTGACTGTATAGTTTTCATCTTATATAGTCGTTCGATGAAAGAGTGAATAGTGTTTTGATGTAAATATAAATTGTGTGATTGATATACACCTGAAGAATGTCTAGAGCATTAATGGATCAATCGATTCAAAACAAGGAAACCAATATTCCAGAGTTTATTATGATTCCTTTGGGTTCCCAGTTGGATACTGGACTTCAGCAGTACTTCTCCATTTCACTCTTTTCTCTGCAGTCTTTTTTTTAGATTGCTCCACAACTGACCATAAACTCTCATTCCTTACTCAAACGATCTCGCGTCCAATTCTTCGCTTCCTATTTGGATTGTACTGGAGTGCCTAGGGCATATATCTGACCAGCTGTGAATCACTTATCGTGAATTGTAGGGGAAAATAAGTTGAATAATCGTTTATTGCCGGTAGTGGGTATTTCAAGGTAGAAAAACTAGTTTCTGCTGAATAATAATACCTCTTTAATGATGTAACATCTTGATCCATCTTCATAATTAGGTAAAGGGAACCAGATTACACTGGGTCACTTATAAAAGTGTTGACTCCCCATTATCCAAAGTTGAAGTGTGTAGGTAGGATGCCAAATGCACAATTTTCTTTTCTTTTATAGAGGAATAGTGTCGCTGAACAAAGCGTATTCAAAAATATTCATTCACCTTTAGTGTGAAATTTATGAGGGTTTGTTAGATTCTGTTATATATTGTTATTAGTCCCTTGAGTTCCGTGTGAAATATAAGATTTCAGCATCACTTCTGCACTTCATTCTGTTCTCTGCAACTCTCTCTGGCTGGCTTGATGATTTCCCATAAGCTCTTCCATGTCACCCTAAGACACCCGATTCGCTGTTCCCCATTCAGGTTCCTCTTCGTGTGGAGTGGGAATAACACTGTGTGGTAGTCAGCTGATACAGAACGGGATATCATTTGTACTAGCCAAAAGTACGGTGAGAAACGTATGCGAAGGTATCACTAGGTCGTATGAACTCAGTGGGAACATATTTAAATTTATGCTTCGAGAATAATAAATAGTTATTTATAGATTTGATATAATCGAAAATCCTTGACACAGAATTAAGAAGAGTTCGGATTTCCCTAGATGATGAAGGTTTTCAGCAAATAAGATGTTCGTCTTGCTTCGAATAGTAATTTATCTCCATGGGCTCATCAAAACTTCTCATTGAATGATCAATGGTTGGCAATCTACATTCAAACATAACTCATCGAACAATCAACTTTTTCTTCATTTCACAACTGTCCAGTGTACTTCTAGTCCATTTTCTCTCTTAGAACACTATTCAATCTTTTATAATGTACAAGTGATTGACTGTTATGTCTTCAGTTTGACTGACTAGCTGTCCTGTTACTTCCTCATCAAAATATCTACTGAACAAGACTTTTTATATTTTCATTGCAATACATAGGAGGCTTAGTTAAATGATTTTTTAAGAAGATTCAGTGTATCTGTACTAATGTTGGCGATGGACAATGTGAATAGAAGAATTGACAGATACACTTGTCGAAAACGGATATCCTTTGAAGTTTTTGAAACGATGTAGACATCAGTTAGGTTAAAAACCTACAGTCTACTCTTATAGATAAGATTTTATTTTGATAAATCACACAGTGTTATACAGTAATATTTCACAAAATTAAGCCAGTGAAGGATGACAATGGAAAGTCACTCACCAAAGAAGTGGAGCAAAGGAAACACTGGGCTGAACACTTCAAAAGACTTCTAAATCGACCACCACCTACAACGCGCCCAACAATACCAACAAAGGAGACAGAGCTACCAGTAAACACCAGCCCCCCGACGAAATCAGAACTCCTGAAGGCAATCAAGGTGCTAAAAGCTGGAAAAGCAGCAGAACCAGATGGAATCCCTGCAAAAGCATTGAAAATGAACCCAGATACAACAGCGGACTTGATGACGCCACTACTGGAGAAGGTGTGGAAAGAAGGCAAAGTACCTGAAGATTGGAAGAAAGGCTACTTATTCAAACTACCAAAGAAGGGAGACTTAAGTCAATGAAAGAACTGGCGCGGAATTATGCTCCTGTCTATACCAAGCAAAATACTAAGCCGCATCATCCTGGAGAGAAACAAACAAGCCCTGGATGAAAACCTTCGACTAGAACAGGCTGGATTCAGGAGAAGCAAGTCATGTATTGATCAAATCGCCACATTACGGATCATCATTGAACAAAGCTTGGAATGGCAGTCACCTCTCTATCTCAACTTTATCGGCTTTGAAAAGGCCTTTAACAGCGTCGATCGAGAGGTGATTTGGAAACTACTTCGCTACTACGGGGTGCCACCGACAATAATACATCTCATCCAACAGCTCTACGACAATGCTGCATGCCAAGTAATCCACAATGGGAAACTTACGGAATCCTTCGAAGTGAGGACAGGAGTAAGACAAGCTGGCTGCCTACTATCGACAATGATTTTCCTGATTGCAGTAAACTGGATAATGCGACAAACAGCGGGCAATGAGGAAACAGGCATAAAATGGACACACACAAAAACTTGGAGGGTCTGGACTTCGCCGACGATATATGTATGATTTCCCACAAACTGGAAGATATGCAAGTGAAAAGCAACAAGTTGGCAGAAGAAGCATCCAGAGAAGATGGGATTTACTTCCTGTGAACATAGGGAAAACAGAGGTGATGAAGATTCCTGGCCAACACCACCAACAGCAACAACAACAACTGACAACAATCAGCATAAATGGGAGGAACCTGAAAGAAACAACCTCTTTTACTTACCCACCTACCTGGGAAGCATCGTTTCAACTACAGGCGGAAGGAACTCACGAGGATATCAAAGCAAGAATTGGAAAAGCAAGACAAGCTTTCACTACTCTCAAGTCAGTGTGGAGATCAACAGCACTCAGCATCAAAAATAAGATCTGGATTTTCAACTCCAATGTGAAATCAGTGCTACTCAGCATACGGATCAGAGACTCGGCTCGTCATAAACAGCATCTCAAACGAACTACAGACCTTCATTAACAGTTGTCTTCGCTCAACATTCAAGATCAGATGGCTGGCCAGAAAAGATCAGCAACAGGGATCTCTGGCAGTGAGCGAACCAACAGAGCAGGAACCGATTGTGAAACAAATAGGCAGGAGGAAATGGAGATGGATTGGCTGGCCATACTCTGAGGAAACCATCAAATGACATCACTAGACAAGCCATCGCTCGAGTAGAACCCGAAAGGGAAGCGGTGAGTTGATCGTCCAAGGGTGACATGGAGGAGGTCATGTGAAGAGGAGATGAAAGCATGTAGGCAGATTTGGAACCAGGTAAAGACTCTAGCAGACAACCGAACGCAATGGAGACGCGTGACTGAAGCCCTATGTTCCTCTTGGAATTAAAGGAAACAGTAATAATAATAATAATAATAATAATAGAGAGTAATATTAACTGATGACGTTTCAAGCACAAACCATTGCTCATAATCATATCAAGTTGATATATAATGGAGTTATACTCTACCATAGTGCCCAATTTTTATACTTATATCAATAATACCGTCTACTCTGTCCAAAAGAAAAATGTCTGTATCAAATTATCTTACATTGGATAAACTGACAGTAGGGTTTTAGACAGAGACTGAATTCTGTCATTTGTAAATTTTAATATGCAAACCAGGCTATAATTGTTGAAATATGTGAGTCTGATCTGCTACAAGCCTCAACTTGGCACATGGAATTATGTCACACTTCTTATTGTTTACCAGTGTTCTTGTATGTGTGTGTGCGTGTGTGTGTGTAGTTACTCATACATAGGGCGGAGTAATCGTGTCTTAAATATGAGGGTGCGAGAACGTATACCCAAATGGTTTGAGAAACGATTACGCGAAGTTAAAGAATAATGACCCATGAATGCGAATGGAGCAATGACCTTGAGCGTATACTATTCGTTGAATGACGTAACTTACCATTATTATAGCGCTACTAGGAACTCTTTGCACGAATTGAGGTGCAAATTTCATCTCGAACTCCTCTATAAGTATTGTTTGGATGATGGGCTGGTAACTCGTTGGGGTTAAGGCTACAAATAGGATTGCAGTTAAGATTACAGTCGTGGTTCGGGATTAAGGTTAGGGTTAGCATTAGGGTTGGGATTACGATTAGAGTGTTTTACTTTTATCATCTGCAATTTTCTATTAAATAGTTATAGGTTGTTCATAATTATTTTTTGGTACTTTTCTAGTACATAAACGGCAATTTTGTATGTAAAATACACTGGTTATTCTGATTGGTCGTCTCAAGGTCAGTCCTGCGTTCTCATTGCTTGGGTGTAGATATTCTTTAGCTTTGCCAACAATTAAACCGTGAATTCTTGATAAACACAGGTAGCAGATTACCAATTTTGTCTATAGAAAAACACTTGATTAATATAAATCACAAGTCTGTTATCAAAACAGCTTTCAGGATTGTCTATAAATACACTAACGCTATAGCCGTCCGTAAAATTAAACTTCCCTCACCATGTGTGTACAAAAGCAATTTATTGTTACGCTTATCCTACCTCGTTAATACTCCTCTGATTCTATTGTAACGACAAAAGACAAAGGCCATGCAACAGATCGTTTATTGAGAAAATCATGAAGTATTTCTAGATTTTTATGTACATTATTGTTAGCGGAGAAGCATCCTCTTCTGATTGAATTGATTGTTTTCTTACTGAAGGTTATTCTGTTATCTCTTTGTGGCCGTTTCTCAGAAAATCAAGCCATATATCTGCGAATCATATTTCCACATATTAACTCCCCTGTGATTGGCTGGTGATTTTTTCACGGTTAAGCTTTGTTATTGTGTTGATTTTCATGCCCCTGATTTGGGACGTGAACATTGACGTAAATTGTTGTCGACAATTTTGGCTTGCTGCCAGCTCTCACCACAATATTACCAACAGTATTATTAATTATTCTTATTCTTCAATCCTTAATTATTTAATTTAGTATATTTGGCCTTTCATTTTTCATATATAATTGATTTGACAAGTAAATGTGTTATCAGATTTCTGAAAATGTATTGCGTAAATATATACCACAGTTTTTCGATTATCTTCGTCTTCCAAACTTTTTATATGTCTATAAAGTATCTAGAGTGACGTCAAACTATCATAGCCGCTGTGAATGACCTTACCGATGACTATGAACAAATCATCAGAATTAAGGGACAATCTGAGTTGCAAAATTGCTAAAAGATGATTCTAAATCACGGCGTTCTGAGCTCCATTTATATTCCTAATTCTTCTTCTGTCTTCTGTAATCTACACCGAAATTCCACTTGGTTATCCTGTCAAGCTTTCCCTGCATATGCATGTTTTAGTAACTCTAATTATTCTATCGTTCACACAGTAACCACCAAACACTTGTTGTTCTTGGGACTTGTTAGACAATTGCAGAAAACAAGTCATACTGTGGCGTGTGCTACCGATAAGACTTATCAGTAGTATACAAAAAGAGACGTTTATCGTCATGAAAACATTAAATAGCATGGAGAGAGATTCAATGTCAGAGAAAGCAAATAATCCAGCTTTGCGGAGATACATGGGAGACGTGAATGGAACGCAGAGAAACAAAATATGCAGGAGATAAATAGCAAAACACAGAAGATCTGTAAAAATGTACAGACATTCCTTTACCAAGTCTTTCGTCTTCTAACGTTTCAATACTACTTGTAACTCTAATTGATTGTCGAAAGTCATGTATAACTGGGTAGCTGTTATTATTTAACTTCAGCGTATCTGGACATCACTCTACATTTAACATTGTGAATAAATATTATCTAATTCTGATAATTGAATATGATATTTCAAGTGTTGGTTTGTAGGGATTTGATTGGTTGTAGGATTGGTTAGAGAACTATTGGAAAACCTGGGAGTACTGGACAGCTGTTTTGCTCTAGTTAGAGGCTCTTCAGCAGCACGCACCCACCGGGCCATTGGATCGGGTCCGAGTGGCTTATTGGTCTACGAGTTCGCCTTACAACCGGAAGGTCCTTGGTTCGAACCCCGGGGGTGCGTACTGTTGAAGAGTCCCAAACTAGGACGAAACAGCTGTCCAGTACTCCCAGGTTTTCCAGTGGTTCTCTAACCAATGTTAGCTCATAATGAATATGATATTTGTTCATTTCCCAGTCCCCAACCCTTTTCATTCACTTCTCCCTCTTTCTGTCTCTTTTTCCTTTTCAATTAGATCTATTTGTTGGACAATTAATGAGTACACTTGAATGCGCAGACTGTGCATTTAAATCGACTACATTTGATCCATTTTGGGATTTAAGTTTACCTATACCAAAAGTAAGTTTAAATTTTCCCTTTTTTTTATCTCCCACTCTCTGTTTTTCACAAATTATTAATTATTGATTATTCGTATTTTTCGTTTTTCTTAAAACATGTTCTTTTATTGTTCATTATGCGTGGAAGTAAGCAAAGAGAGAGAGAGTGAGCAAGCAAGAGAGAGAAAGAGGTGTTTCATATTTTAATGAGGTAATTATACTAGAAAGTCCCATTTATAAAAGAAAAATCGATTTTTCACATTTAGAATATGTTTCTTTAAAATTAGGTCATTTAACATAAATAGCCTAGAACAATTTAAAAAAGTTTCTTTAAATTTTATACACGAATTTCTCTTAACGAATTCAAACAAAGTAATCATAACGAATGCATGCAGTAGGATTAAAACCGATCTAACTGATATACACGTTGTTTTATCGACTACATACAAACTGAATAGTGAAAGTCGATAGTTTTCTTACAATTTCAATAGACTTTGGCTCATTTGGGGTAAATAGTCATGGTGTCATGGAATAGTCATAGTGTATATATATCATCATGTATTAAACGTTATGTTTTATATGTCTGACATCTAATTAAATGAGCTACACTCACAATAGAATTTTTCAAGCGTTACTTTACAGGAATTCGATTGGTTTCAAGATTAATGACTAACTGAATTCAATCAAAGGGCCGTTGTAAACCAGGGATTGTTTTACTCTCCTTCTTTGGAACGCCTTCACCAGTACACACCCATCACCACACAGGGGACTGAAACCGGGGACTTCAGGTTACAAAGCGAGGTCGCTGACCATTCAGCCAATGCGACGGGATCCAATGACCCACCATTGCTAACTTCTGCCAATTAACGGTATATAGTGTGACCACGAGCCCTTGTCGTCTGCGAGTATCTGTCCTCATATTCAACTTGTTAGACCCTGTTAGTCATGACTTCCCAATATAACCTCAAACAACTTCTTGTAGTCAATCACTAGTGAGCATTAGAAATTAGAATTGATGGGCCATTGAATTCCGTTCCAGGAGTTGACCAGTCATCCAGCTCAACTTGTATCCTGAAGCCCGTGGGTCCGAATCCTTGTGACGCCATGAGTGTTTAGTGATGACGAGTCGCAAACTAGGACGAAACAGCTATCCAGTACTTTCTGGCTTCCAATGGTTCGTGATCAGACTGAAAATATATTTTATTCGCATATATTTTGTCCATTAACAATTTTCTAATGTTTTACGCCATCTTGTCTTGTTGCTACCCATATTCCCTATAACTTTTTTGTTATAGTCGTGAGGCTTTGATCGCATTACAGAAATATTTTGATATTTTACCACTTAAACATTTCAATACACCTATATAATGTGATCATTTTCAATTATTGTTAGTTGTTTGTTTCTCTCTAATGGACGAAAGTATGTTAAAGTTGTCATTAAACTATTAACTTTCATTCTTCAGGTTTTACGCAGTTGATAAGAGACACTGACCTACATAAAATAGATCCGTTTTATTCTTTTCCAGGTTTTCTTTTATCATTCTCTTGCCTTCTGAGTGAAAAATAGGGCGGCTTCAAGCTTGACCTTTGAAGTTTCAGTAGTGTGGTGTGTGCTCCTGATAAGATTTATCAGTAATATATGAAGAGAACTGTGTGGCGGAAGTTCGCATGAGTTAAAGAGGTGGTAGGAGTAACTGGTTGATTGATGAATATTGTGGAAAAGGTAATGAAAAAGTGATTTGAGTATGAATGTATTAAGCGCGCGCGAGAGAGAGAGGTAAGTATGAGATGGACGCGTGTGGGCTGGCGTTGGTTTGTGACAAGAGAATTGAGAATGACGGATAGGAAGGAAGAACGGAAGGAAGGTGGGAGTTGATGGATGAATGAATCAGTGAATCTATGTTCCCTGATATTTGATGTTTTTATGCCAATGAAAGTCTCTTTATATACTACTGATAAATCTTATCAGTAACACACGCCACAGTAAGTAGCAGTGGTGTTGTTTTTACTGGGTGGGTTTGCTAACCTAATACCCAACCTTCCCCCTTTACTAGTCTTGCAACTGGCTATGCTACTATTAATAGAAGTGCGTCAACGGGGACTCAAACCGGCACTACCTGACCGCTTTGTCGGTGAGACTTCTACCTCTGAACCACCAATGCACGTTTTTATGATTGCTTTGTTCAAATTTTTAATTTTAACCTTATAATTGATTACAGTGTTTTATTTGTTGGGTGTACGAAGTGGTGATTTTTCTTTGAAGGTATCTTTTCTCGTGAATGCTTAAAAATATTTCTCCTTCTCTAAATGTTTCCGGTTTATAGAGATAATTACGTAATATAAAAATTACTGGGGTGGAAATAGTTATTTGATCAAGCAGAAAAAACTGTGACATGCTGCATAATTGTGGTAATTATTCAAGCTATATCTTAGGGTTTATAAATGTAAAATTTGAAATTCTCTGACAGATGTATGCGTCATAGTTTTCCCTCCAACTTTTGAAGGTGTATTGACTGCAGCCATGAGTGAATACCAATCGGAATATCTAAAACACTGTCAATTGTAATTTATTAAAACAACAGACAGAAGTTAGAATTCATGAGGCATTGGATTCCGTCCTACTGGGTGTATGTTTAAAAAGCTCGCCTGGTAACCTGAAGGTTTTGGGTCTTCTACTCCTTATGTTGGGGTCACGGGTGCCTACTTCCAAAGAGTCCCAACTTGTTACGAAACAGCTCTTCACTATTCTCTGCTTTTCAGTGATTCTCTAAATGATATCAGTTCATCATCAAACCTGAAACTGATAAATTTGTCTTTTTAGGTTAAATATCCCAAAACTAGCTCTTGAACATTTGCACTTTCCAAAGCTTTCCGGGATGTGTAAGTAGGCTGAATTTGATGAGGTTAGTGGATGACGTTAGGTTATCCTAACAGACACTTTAGAATAGTGGTTGAGGATGGTAATTTTATTGGTTTAGATCCTAACTCAGTTGGACATGCCTCCTTTTTACTGGTTTCAGTGTCTGTTTGTTTCAATGTTTAAGAAATGAAAAAAATTATTCTAATTGCTTTAAGCGCAATGAAATCGACTTGGAAATTAATGTCTCTTTTCTAAGGGTTATTATAAGTTCCTTTGTGTTCAGATGAAGCGTATTTTTTTATCTTGCCTTAATTAAAACCAAAACAAGCTGATTCATCTTACATTATTAAAAGAGATAACACTTATTCAGTTTTAGCGTGCAATAAACTTTGTCCCTTCCTTTCAAACTACCAAGTCGTCTCTGTCATTAATTGTTCATTCAGGTTCGTAATTTACATAACTACCTAATCTGTATGAAGCGTTGGACGCTTGCTAGCCGGTTAGCCACACGGGAGGTTTGGTTTCGATTCCAGCCTGACATACTCCTAAGTCCCGCCTACTTTAAGAATATTGTAACGGAGTGTTAGTGTGTAGTTTTTTTTGTTTGTTGTCCTAATTTGACTAGAATCAGCCTCCAGTCACGACATTGTAACCAACTGATCACTTGGGAAAATTCCCCACACTGAGTAGACACACAAAAGTCAACTTAAATTGCTACAAATTTTATTCGCAATAAAGAGTGAATTCCCCTTTAATAAATGAATGGGAATTTGAACCATAGATAAATAATCAGTATATGATTGATTGTGCGTCGGTGGTATAGCGGCTAGGACGCTCGCCGACCATGCACATGGTTCGGGGTTCGATCCCTGGCCGACGCACTCCTTTACTTCGCTAAGCCAGAAATAATGCTGGTGAAGAGGAAAGGTTGGGCATGAGGCTAGCAACCCCATCCTGTAAAATAAGCACTCCTACAGAAACTTCAAATCACTAGCTTGATTGATTGCATCAGTCATGAATTTACGGTTGACACAGGCATACTTAGTCTGTACTAACAACGGACCGTTAGTAAGCCCGGGAAGATTTAGGTGGGGGGAAGTTGTGGGGGGGGGTTATCAACTCTATCCTGTGAAAACGACGCCACTGCTACTGAAACTTCAAAACTTGAAGTTTAATGCCTCATATCCCATCCATTTGGAACGCAACGTATGAAAGCAAGAAGTCCAGTTTTGAATGTTAATCGTATAAAGTGGTTAGTACTTTGGAGATTACTTCACTTCATAGGTTTGTATTGGGCATTATTTGCCTACATATTATTATTATTTCCTTTAATTCATAGAGGAACATAGGGCTTCAGCCGCGCGTCTCCATCGCGTTCGGTACTCTGCCAATGTCTTCGCCTAGCTTCACCTCTGCCCCCATACCTTCATCTCCTCTTCACATGACCTCCTCCAAGTCACCCTTGCACTGACGACCAACTCATCGCTTCCCTTTAGGGTTCCACTGGAGCAATGGCTTGTCTAGTGATATCACTTGATGGATTCCTCAAAGTATGGCCAATCCACCTCCATTTCTTCCTGCTTATTTGTTTCACAATCGGTTCCTGCTGTGTTGGTTTGCTCCCAGAGATCCCTGTTACTGATCTTTTCTGACCGGCCATCTGATCTTGAGTATTGAGCAAAGACAACTGTTGATGAAGGTCTGTAGTTTGTTTGAGATGCTCTTTATGACGCGCAGTGCAAGTCTCTGATCCGTATAGTAGCACTGACTTCACACAATGGAGTTGAAAATCCTGATCTTATTTTTGATGCTGAGTGTTGTTGACCTCCACACAGACTTGAGAGTAATGAAAGCTTGCCTTGCTTTCCCGATCGTCGCTTTGATATCTTCATCACTTCTGTCGGATTGTAGTTGAAACGATGCTTCCCAGGTGGGTAGGTGAAAGAGGTTGCTTCTTTCAGATTCCTTCCATTTATGCTGATTGTTGTCTGTTGTTGTTGCTGTTGGTGGTGTTGTCCAGGAATCTTCATCACCTCTGTTTTCTCTATGTTTACCTGAAGTCCTATCTTTGATGCTTCTTCAAAGGTAGGCCTTCAGGTGAGGAGCCCCAAACTAGGACGAAATAGTTGTTCAGTTTACACTTTGACTTTCAATGATTCTGT